TTTCAGAGAAGAGGGAAATCTGGCAATTGCACAGTAAAAAATCTTAAAAGGATGAAAGGAGGATCGCTTGGGGCAGACTCAAGAGAACTGCACAGGAGGGTCTTAGAGGCAGTTGTCGAGGAAGAGGGTGTTGCAGGTTTGTTTTTTCAAAATATGTTTTTATTGATTTCAGAGAGGAAGGGAGAGAGAAAAAGAGATAGAAACACCAATGCTAAGAGAGAATCATTGATCAGCCCCCTCCTGCTTGCCCCACACTGGAGACCAAACCCGCAACCCAGACATTGCCCTGACTGGGATTTGAACCATGACCTCCTGATTCATAGGTAGACGTTCAACCGAGGAGCCATGCCGGCTGGGCTGCAGTTTTATTTTTAGAGTAATTTACCTAAGTCTACGAAAATGTAGAGCATTTAGAGCAAAAAGATGGTAGGTGTGAGCGTGTAACTAAAGCTCCCTCACTCCAAGCCACCCCACAACGGGGGCCAGAGTCAGATAGATGGAGTACTGGGCTGGGAAGCCAGGATGGGGCAGGTGAGGTTCCTCAACCTAAGTCTTAAGTCACCTTAAGTCACTGAAGAATTGCAGACACACACAGTGATCTTTATCCCCTTTGTTCCTTTTATTAGATAAAAATGTGCATTCTGATTCAAAGATGTATAAACCACTTAAGCACCACCGTGGAGGAAGTTTGTATGGAGTATAAAGGATGGGGGGAAGGGTCAGAAAACATGTCAGGGAGAGGATCTTTGAGATGACTCTGAAACACGGAGTGGGTAATTGTTACATGGCTAGGTGGGTACATCTAGGCAGACAATTCCACAGGGAGAGCAAAGCTATGGCAGGAACAGGGCAGGCTGGTGCAGAAGGGTTGGCAAAGGCCAGATGACCATAATAAGTAGCTCCAGCCTTATCTGAGAGGCAGAGAGTAGCTGCATGGGTTCAAGAGAATATATGTATTTCAGGAAGCTCCAGCAGCAACCCATAGGGTGGATTAAGAGGAGGTAGGGAAGCCAGTTACGATGTTACTGAAACATCCAAAACAGAGGTAACAGGACCTGTTCTAAAGCCCTGCCAGCCAGGATAGAGACAGGGGAGAGGGTAAGATATACTGAGGAGAGAAAGTCTGCAGAGACCAAGAGGAATGTTGGTGGGGGAGGGGAAGCTATCAATAGCTCCTCTGGTGAGAATGATTCTGTCCCCTTCGTTAGATCATGAGACCTGTAGATTTTTTGCTTGTCAGTTGGTTGGGTTTGTTTGGTTTGGTTTACTCTTAATAATGATCACCATAACTTAAGAATAAAGAAGAAAATGTCATGCATCATTACTTTGGCTACAAGACATTTCCTCTGGGTTTTAACTTACTAGGTAAATCTATGTGGAATTTGTTTCCAAGGAAACTAAAAAAATTGCATGCAATAGGATGAGAGTGCAGGGTGAACTGCAATGTCTTCAGGTCTCTGGAGGTACATGAGTACACACTTGATTTCTGGAGTTCTCACATACCCCACTACCTCTCACCGCTATTTTGCTTTTCCTGTTTCTCCTAGACCCTGTTTGTCATTATTGGCCTCTTGACCGGCTGCTATTTTTGCTGCTGTCTATGCTGTTGTTGCAACTGCTGCTGTGGACGCTGCCGGCCCAAATCATCGGAGCCAGAAGAGGACTTCTATGTGTCCCCAGAGGATCTTGAGGAGCAGATCAAGACTGACATGGAAAAAGGTAGAGTAAGATGAGAGCAGAGGTAGTGGGTGTCCCTTCATAGGCCTGGCCACGCACCAGGTCCCATGGTGATGGTTATCACAAAAGTGAGAGAAATTCATCAACCAAGTTAGGAGAACCCCATAGACCAGCGGTTCTCAACCTGGGGGTTGAACGACCCTTTCACAGGGGTCGCCTAAGACCATCGGAAAACACATATATAATTACATATTGTTTTTGTGATTAATCACTATGCTTTAATTATGTTCAATTTGTAACAATGAAATTGGAGGTCACCACAGCATGAGGAACTGTATTAAAGGGTCGCGGCATTAGGAAGGTTGAGAACCACTGCCATAGACTGTCAGCTTTGGTACTTCTTTTGCAGAGGATGAAAGAATAGTTACTTTTAGCAGCAACAGAGAAAAACAGAGCCTGACACCATTAGAAAAAAATCATGAAATATGCTGATCTAGTACAATATGCAAAGCTAGTATAATTCATGGTCTCATTACAAGAGTGTGAGCTCTGGGTTCAGGGAGGATTGGGAGTGCCCAGGGGAAGGAGAACCGAGGTAGAAATTTCTCCCAGAAGAAGCATTTCAGCCTGTTTCTTTAGGATCTTTATTCAAATAGAAGGGAATGGACATCAAGAAAAGTCAGCAACCTGTCACTTTTCTTCTTTTTGATTATTTTATAATGAGTTTTGGGTAGATTTGGGGGAGCATAGTCTTTTTTCCCTGGAAATGTAGCTTCCTTCCAAACCTACACTTTAGAGCTTGCCCTAAACCAGCATCAAGAATACTGTCCTATGTAAACAGGGCTATTTCCTTTATTAAATCACCCCCACATGTCTATATATGTATATATCCACATATATATGTATATATCCATGAAATATTACTTGATTCTTCAAGTTCACTTTGCCCAGAAATGATAATGAAAAAAATGTAGCAAACGATAAAGTCTCACAGAATTTACACCAGAAATATTTCACATTCTCTGAAAAATGAATCTCACAGAATTTACAACACCAGAAATATTTCACATTCTCTGAAAAATGATTTTGTTTAAACAAGCTGAAGTCAAACCTGTCATTGTCCTTTATCTTGTAGCCATAATTCTACTGTCATTTTCTCCTGTAGAATGCATCATTATTCTGAATTATGGACTATCACTAAATCACAAAGAACCTTGGACAGCCAAATAAGAGAATTACTTGGTAATTGAGACAGTGGCCCAGTGTTGTCATAACTGTTGAAATTGGGAATGGTGCACTTTGGACTGCACCATACTCTGATTCTTTGCATCACAATGAAACAAATTCCATGACATCAAGTAGCAGACTGCTTAAAGGCTTGCATGCATCTTTTATTCCCAATCAAATGTGATGCTAAGTAGTATCCAGTTACTATCCAGCCTGACTCCAGCTTCAAGGAAGGAGTCTTCAATCATGTGAATCATGCTTAGTCTTACACCATTTTAGGATTGGGGTTGGGGGGGGAGGGGAGTGCAGTCAGAGATGGAAGGGATTTCCCTGTAACCTGTGACCCCTTCTTATGGGGACTGCTGGGTGACCAGTTAGCAAATGGGGGTTGCTATTACAATTTTTTATTACTGTCCCTGGAGTCAAAGTATGGGCCCAAGGTGAAATGTGATCATAAGTTTCCTTTGCCATATTTGGGATATACAAGAACAAGTCTTTTAATGGAGGCATAAATATCAAAAAGCACAAGCAAGCAGTATTACTCATACATGGGTTAAAAAGAGATACATATATGCAAACTCCTCTTCAGAAAAGGGCCAGTGAATGGCCCCACCATAACTTGTTTAAGAATGATGAGCCCAGTGTATTAATCCCAACTGCTCTTTGAGGCAGGTAAAATGTTGAAAGATCATGTCAGAGGTCTCTGGTCCCATTGTTCATAGGATCTCCCATAATGTCCATCAATCCTATCCAGTCCTCACTCACTGACAGAGGATAGGAAGGAGAGCACTGTCATCATCATCCACTGTACAGAGGAACTTTAACTTGTCGTTTATACTGTGGAACCCAAAGCTAGGTGAATTGAACTTAGGTATCACAAATCCAGTGTCCACACGTCTTTGAAAAGCCTCAACGTTTTTCCTCGTTTAATTTTTAAAATTCTGACTGGGGCTAGGGATGGAATCTGCAACCCAAGTACATGCCCTTGACCAGGAATTAAACCTGTGAATCTTTGGTGGTGCGTGGGCTGGTGCTCTAACCACTGAACATACCAGCCAAGGCAAAGTTTTTCCTCTTTTAAATTAGATCAAAGTTCCAAAGGTCATTTCAGCAGACCTTCTTTGCAGATTTCTTTTCTGGAACAGAAATTCATCCTTGGTGCCAAATTCCACGCAGGTTTCCCTCCTGCAGGGTGACTGGTAATAAATCTATGTGTCTCTCACTGTTCTCAGTTCTGATGCCCCCCAGAGCTACCAATTCCATTGCAGAGGTCAGATTCTAGACTAAGTAAATTATGATCTCATTTTACTGTATTACTAAGTATCACATGATCTCACTTATAAGTGGAATATAATGAACAAAATAAACTGACGAATAAAATAGACCACCCTCCCAAAGAAGATTTAGCCAAGAGGAAAAAGCTTTATTCCATTCCTAAATACTTAAAAGCTCCAAAAAGCTCCAAATACTTAAAAGCAGAATTAATCCAGGTTTTGTAGGGCTTTAAACTTATACAATTTGGGGACAGTCCTCTTTATGAAAAAGAACACAAAATTACAAATGCAAAATTAAATTCAGGAAGTAAATATTTATTTAGAATGAGAAGAAGAAATCACAACAAACTGCAAAGCTTAAAAACTGACAGATAGCCCTGACTGATTTGGCTCAGTGGATAGAGCGTCAGCCTGAGGACTGAAAGGTTTCAGGTTCGATTCCAGTCAAGGGCATGTACCTTGGTTGTGGGCACATCCCCAGTAGGAGGTGTGCAGGAAGCAGCTGATCAATGTTTCTCTCTCATCGATGTTTCTAACTATCTCTCTCCCTTCCTCTCTGTAAAAAATCAATAAAATATATTTTAAAAAACTGACAGATAACATAAATATCACAAAATCTAGAAAAACAGCAATAGTTTAATTAAGTGCCTGGCACATCTCTATAATACTTTTACCCTATGCTTTCCGGGTGCATATTCTTTGCTTGCCTCTTCATTGAACAATACTTTCATAATATCATTTTCTGTAAGAAGAATAGAAAAATAATTCTTTCTTCTAGCATGTTTGATCAATTTGTTTTTATGATTGTAGATGAGAAAAGTTACAGTTTTGCAACTCATTATTGCTAATGTCTAAATTTTTATGGACTGTTGTCAAATCTGCGAAAATTAGTTGATTTCATATATAACATAAAATTTGGAAAAAATTGTCCACACACCATTTTCTGACTGCACATTTCAAACCTTGTTTCCTCTCCATCACCCAATACTGCCAGGATAAGAGCCCATCGACACATCCATATTGTGTGACACCACCTCTGGTGTGAATCTTCGTGCCCCCTCAACAAGTGGATTGGCATACTGAGTTACAAGCTTATCCCTAAAACCATCCCTATGCCAGTAGGGCTACCAATAATTATACACAGAGTTGCTGCAAACCACAAAATCGTATCTCACTAAACCCAAAGGAAACCTATCCCCAGCTATATCTCCCCTTAACCGAATCTCCAAAATGTCCATAGCCCCTCTGTTGCCACTCATCAAGAAGAAAAGCATGATGGAGGAAAAGTAAAGTGGAAAGAGACAGTGTTTTGTTATGATTAAAACATTTTACTTTTGCAAATCTACAAAATATGTGAACATATTTCTAGGGTCCCTGAAGCTTAACTTTCATTAACTGCGGTAAATCCACCACCACTGCTCCTCAGTCTAACATTTCATTATGAGAATTTATGCCTTATTTGAAGTGCATTAGTTAGTTTCAGACTTTTATTCCACTAATTCAAAGACTTACTGTAGTTTACTGGTATAATTAGCGCAATTTAAGGCTTGTGAGGATGTAAACGAAGATTCCATGTGAAGAATATACTTTCTGGACTCTGATCCTATTAATGGATTATGGTCTCTTCCGCTCTGCAAAAGAAGACCACTTAAAGTTGTTTAAGAAAAGGCACTTGAAAGTAGCTACTAGTCACTTGGATATCAAGTTACTTGTGACAAATGATAAGCAGCATACATCAAGATTTGAGTCCATTAGAAGGCACATGGAAGACATTGGAGCTTTGCTTATTTTATTTTGGTGATTCTGAAATAGAATAAAATATAGCAAACATATTCTCACTTAGAGGATTTTTTATTATCCTATGTTGGATCTAATCATAAAATCCTAAGATTTTAGAGTTGGAAGGATTCCAAGGTGTCAACCCTCATCTCCCCACAATTTTTCTAGCAGACTGCGGCCCAACCTCATTTGAAAGCTACCAATGATGAGGAGGTTGGGATCTTGTATGAAAAGTAAGACATGCTCATAAAAATTCAACCACCACAGGGGGGTACAGAGTCAAAGAAAGGGGGTACAGTCAGTATAAAAGTTTATATAAACCTCCTGGCACCAGCTCCTCAAGGATCACAACTTAAAAAAATTTTGTGTAACTATAGGGGGTTTTGTTTTTTTTACAAAAATGTTATAGCTACATAATTGGGGTGTTTTTTTTCCTGTTGCTTTGCAGAGAACAAATTCTGATGAAAAATTTATTAATGTTTTTAATGGATTATGCTTTTGATGTCATGTCTAAGAACTCTTAGCCTAAGCCTATGTCATGAAGATTTTCTTCATTGTTTTCTAAAAGGTTTATGTTTAACATTTAGATCTATTCCCATATTGAGTTCAGTTTTGTATAAGGTGTGAGGTTTAGGTGGAGACTTTTTTTTTTTCATATAGAGGGAGTAGGAAGGGAAGTGAGGATCAGTGAAAAAGAGGAAGAATTTAATATCTTCCTTGGTGCCCTTTTTCTGGTTTATAAAACATGGTGAATGCTGAACAGCAAATGTAGTAAATGTCTCAACACAACTCAAGACTAACAAATTTCCTTGCAGATTTAGAGGTATGATGATTTACAGAGCACATAACCATTTTGAGTATTGACTTTATGTAGGGAGCTTCCTATTAGACTCTTTATCTAAGCAAACTCTGGGTTTTGGCCTCTCTCCCAATGAAAACCTTATATGCTATTGTGCACTGCACAACTCTAGGGGGCATTTTTCCTATAATATAGTCTATATGATATGTAGTGGGTCTATCCTCATTCCCATAAGATGGTGAAAACTAAACCAAGTTCAGCAATTGCCTCAAACGGAAAGCTGGGTTCAGTGCTTTGGTTTTATATTTCTATAATTGATAGAACTCATAGAAGAGTAAGGACAGTGTCTCCTCCCTTCTGAAGTCCTTTAAATGATAACTATCCTCAATATCTTACTAGTTGAATTGATTTGCCAATCATCATTTCAACAAAAATATCCACGACTTGCCCCATTAAAGAAAACATAACATGATAAGAGGATATTTATTGTTTTGCTTTGTTTATTTTTAGATTTGGACTTTCCAGTTGTTCTTCAGCCTACAAATGCAAATGAGAAAACACAGCTAATCAGAGAAGGATCTCGAAGTTATTGCACAGACTCTTAATATTGAGCCCACTGAGGGTCTGCAGTACCTCCTCTTGGTTCAACCATGCCTCCAGGTGGTCATGGGGAGAGGACAGGGGGCATGAAATGCTGTGAACTTTTCCACATTTGTATTTTATTTTTAGGTTAGGGAAA